CGGGGTGGGGGCAGTGCTCGGTCCTCGCGCCCCACCCCCGCCGGGGAACGAGTGGGGCGCTCTTTTTGAGCGGGAGGAGGGAAATGAGTGATTGCTTAGCCTCTCCCTGTGTTATGTAATCCCCTCTCGGTCCTATAGTACGTCCCAAGCCTTAGTGCATTGCAGTTAGTTCACAAAGTCTCCTCCCCCGGTCCTAAAATTTCCTTGGGATGGCGCCGTGATTTATAAAATGGGATGGGGCGGAAAAATCTGTATTTGCCGACGATTATATCCTGCCGCGGTGGGCGCCATGTTTATCCCAGGGACTATTTTCTCTAGATTCTCAGCACCTACTGAAGAGGTGTGATGTCGTTGATCCACCTGTTTTCTCTCCTTTCTGCGAGTTACCTTGATTTCCTGTCCCGTCAGACGCGGGGTTCTCTCAAACTGTTACTAATACTGGGCGTTGCTTTGCTTGTCTTGGACATTTTCAACTCAGAGGAAGGTAGAGCTGGAAAGAATCTTGTAAGTTCTTTAGCCCAATCTCTTTCGAGATGGAAATTGAGATACAGTTGTCTTATCTCGGAACAGCCATCGTCTTGTTGCAGGCTGTGTCTACACTTTTAGAGACCTTCCACTACAGCTCAAAACCTCGTAGAAACGCACTTTTACTTTCAAAGGAATTTTCCCATTTAGATGAAGGGGAAAACGGCGGGGGTGGAGGGCTGCTTCTTGGCAAACGACGTGGAATTTCGAGACCCGTTGCTCTTGGAACAGGGAGTTGGACTCTGAATTAGAACTACTTAGCACAACCGTTCTTGACTTGAGGGTGCATAGAAAGTACCTTGGAGATTGCTGAAAGTGCAGGTTTGGGGGTCTTTTTTGGATGGGGTGGTGGGGTACCATCTCTACATTTTTATAATTTGCAGTCCTTCAGCTGCGAGTGATCAAGATAACCACCATATTGAGTTACTGGTCTCGCATAAAGGTGCACAGGATATAATCTTAAAACAAGTGGCACTCTATGTCCTTGATTTCCTTCTCCTTTCCTGTATTATAGTTATGACATACCAGCTGGTGTGTTGGTGGCATATCTCAAACTAAAGGAACAGAATGAAGACTTGAGGGATGAACAGGATTTTGTTAGTTTCCACTCTCACCTTGAACCAGTAGTATAATCTAGGAAAATAGTTTGCAAAGTGTGGTTCTCTGACCCCTGGGGATCCTTTCTGGACTTTTCAGGAGAGCTGTAAGATCATAAGTATTTACAAAATAATACTAAGAATAATACGAAGACTCTGTTTCACTGACGTTTGCACTGATGGTCCCAAAGCAATGCTTGGTATTAAATCTCAGCCTTTAGTAAATGTCTTTTTAATTTTTAAGAGTCTGACCAAATGGAAAGTGTGCATAATGTACACTCCCTACCGACGTATGGTCCTTGTCATAAGGAAAAGCATTTGTGAGATTAAGTTGTGAGCTGCTGGTTTCCTGGAATAGTATTTTTACTTGAAAGAACAACTCACCAACTAGTTTTTACGCTTGAGTGTTTTTGGATATTTTCTTGAGAACAAATGAAGTGAGCCTGTCTCTTCAAGGAAAACAGTTGACCATATTTGTTACCAGTGATAAAAATTTAAGAGTAAAAATCAATTTTTTGAGAAGTTGAATCTCAAGTTTGACAGCTTCTCAGTGTTTTAAGGACTTTTCTTACAACATCAGTGTTAATGACTTTTTTTAAATGTATAATGAAATGTGTCAACATTTGAAAGTTAGACATAACTCAGTAAATCTGTATTTTCTAAATTACTGATGCATGATGTTTCAAAATCACCATGAGTAAAAGGTCCTTTCAAAGTGCAAGATACAACAATGAATTTAAACATAACATTTATTGATAGAGTTTCAGATTCCAAGATACAAGTATCCTTTAAGAAACCAACATTTGTCTAGTTTTGGTATTGTATCAGTATACACAGTTACCTGAAAAGGTTTTTAGAATACTTCTCCCTTTTTCTGTTTTTGTGACAGCAGATCTTCGTTATACTTAACCAAAACAGACTGAATGCAAAAGCATCCATGAGAATCCACCTGCTTTCTATTAACCTAGACATAAAAGATTTGCAAAAATATAATGCAAGGTTATCTGTCTCAGTGTTTTGGGGGGGAAATGGTAATTTTTAATTGAAAATATTATTTATGTTAACATCTAATAGGTTTATTGTTTTTAAATGTATTGATAAGTATTTAAACTTCTTGTGTTTTAATGCCTAGTATGGTAAATATCAAGGGATAAACTCCGCATAAAAGCTCTTCGTGGTCCTCAGTAATTTTAAAAATGTAAAGGGGTCCCAAAACCAAAAACTTTGAGAATCACTGGGATTCCTCATATCATCCAAATCTGCCTCCATTTAGGAACTTCTGGAGAATTTACAAATTTTAGTTGGAGTTAATAATGTAAGAGACAGTGACTTGGGGAAAAATTCTAGAGCAAAAAAGATTAGTAAATATCCCAGCCAGGATTCAAACCAGCTATAACCTTGGGGAAGTTACCTAAGCTTTCTAAACCTCCATTTTGACCTCATGTAATATGTATTGCTTAGAACATATAATTGTGAGAATTCATTGATAATGAATGTAAAATGCATAATAATGCCTGGTTATAACATAGTAAAATAAAATATATTGCAGATAATGTTTCAGTCTTTATTCTCCACATATGTCTTTTTGTTGAAGGTGGAGATTTCTGATTTAAATTAAAACCTTAGAGCTGCTGGTGTCTTTGTTGTAATATCAATATGGTAGGACTTTGGTAGATTCTTTGGCAGTCTGGTTTGTGATAATAAGGAATATTTGCAAAAACGTATTTTTACATGTAACTCAGGAGGAGAGGAGAAAGGAAATTGACTAAGGCATTGCTAGTATTTACAGTTCGATGAACTTGAGGGAGTAGAAATGGAATTTAGACAGCATACAACTGTCAGTAAAGAAGAGCTCTTCTTGGGAGAGGAACTGAATATTGAACCCTTTAAAAATAGGAAACTTACTGCTCACTTTAGTTGTTTTAGTGAAAAGCACATAACTAGTATTTGGGTGCTTCTTGATAGGATATTTGCTGCCAGTTAAGTGGAAAATATTTTATGTTTCAGAATATTGAGACTATTTAAGAACCCATTGTGAATATTATATGTGAGGTTCTATAGCGGTTTCTGTGAGGGACGAAATGGGCCATTCAAAAAACTAGGTAAATAAAAGCTTCTTATTGCAAGTTTAACAATAATTTTATAGCCATATCAAGTATTCAGCCCTGTAGGCTTTCTGGAATTAATCCCTTTTAAAGCTAAAAATTGAGGTAACTTGAATACAAATGCCAGTTGTTTTGAGGATCTTTATTGTTTATCTCTCTTTTTGTTTTTTTAAAAACATTTTTCCTGTTCCAAGTGTTCTTTTTATCTTGATTTTTGGGTGGGTAAGCACTAGCAGTGAATCAAAAATGTTAGATATGAATTCTTCATTCTTGGAATTTAGTTTAGAGCTACGAAAGAACCAGACAAATTAAAGGAATTCAAAGCTTCAAGAGCCAAATCTGTCTCAAGAGTTTGGTAGAAAACAGATGTTTTTCTAATCTTATTTGAGATGGAGGTAGGTCAACACTTGCTGCCCATTAAATACCTCAAAAACAGACTAGCAGTTGTATCTGACGGATTCTTTCTGCTGCTTTAAAATAAGATTTTAAAGAATCTCTTTGTATCTTGCCTTTTCAGTTATATAGGCTTTTACCGATGAGCTGATTTTACATGACCTGAGTATAAAGTAGACTACCATATTTGCCAGCATTTAAGATACAATTAGTCAGTCCTCCTTAGAAAGATAGGTATCTGGTACCCCTGTATTATGGATGGAAAGATGAATGCCAAAGAAGTAAAAGACTGTGGGAACTCCTGATAGTCTTGTGTGAGCTGCAGTACTGAGTAAAGCCTACTGAGTGCACAGAAATCATGTTACCAGTGTAATTACTACTACAAAATGTAGAAACCAAGTGGGCTACCAAGGTGCCAGATAATTAGGATGTCTTGACTAATGGAAGATGGCACTGCTCATCTTGTCTTACAGTGCCTCCTTGGTAACCTGTATAACCCAACTTGGATTTTTTTTTCTAATATTATTTAATTATTGTGCTACATCTTAAGAAATGTGTGTATATAATCTGTGTAGAAATTTCTCCTGGAAATGAAAACAAGTTAACAGAAAATTCAATCAACAAGACTACCAGTTTGATTTAGTAAATGGCGAAAAGATAATGGCAGAATATAGTGGTACAAAATATCACAACTAAAATATAAGTAGGTATTTTTTTCTCCCCAACTTTTTTCTTTTTCCTTTTTAAGAAAAAATTTCAACTTTATTGAGCTATAGTTGACATACAAAATTGTAAGATGTTGAAGTATACATGTTACATACATGGTGATTTCATGTACATAAACAATGTAAAAGAATTCCCCCATCTATTTAACACAATCACTTCACATATTTATCTTGTGTGTGTGTGAACATTTAAGTTCTACTCTTTTAGCCAATTTCAATTAAATGGTAGTGTTATCAATTGTGTAGTCACTGTGTTTCCATTAGATTATCAGACCTTATTCATCTGATCCTCCAACATTTTAAGAAAATTTTATGCATGTAAAAAAGGTGAAAGAATGCTAAAAAGAGTACATACAATGAACCCACTACCTAGACACGATTTTTAACATGTTAGCATATTTGCTATCTATAAGAAAATGCCAAAATATGTATTTGCTGAACCACGTGAAAGTCAGTCATGATGCTTCCACTAAATAGTACATGCATTTGCTAAGAATAAATACATTCTCCTACATAACTCTAACTCCACCATCCTTTCTAAGAAAGCTAAAAATAATACGCAAGTATAATCTTATATCTGTTTGGTCATTCAAATGTTCCAGTTGGCCCCAATACATCTTTTGTAGCTTTTTTATAATCCAGAATCCAAAAAAGGTTCATGTTTCTTTTTGTTAGGTCTCTTTAGCTCTTATTTTCTTTAATCTGTTTGGTCTCCTCTGTGCATGCATGCCGGTGATCATGTGTGTGGTGTGTATGTGTTTGACGTTTTTGAAGAAACCAAGTTAGTAGTTTCATAGAATTTCTGTATTCTTCATTTGTCTGATTATTTGCTTATAAAATGTCCTACTTTGTGAATTATTCTCATTATATCCTTGTGCTGCTTAACTTACTCCTCTTTTGCTGTATTTCCTATAAACTGAAAGTTAAATTTAAATGCTTGATTTGATTCAGGTTAAACATTTTTGTCAGTGGGTTTTGTTTGTTTTTTAACAACAGAACAGGCCACAGACCAAACAGATGACAGGTAGAGTTTGCATTATTGGCTAACATTTTTCTATTTAAACTTATTGTCATAACTTTCATCTTTGAGATAGACTTACTTCTGTAACTTTAAGTTCAAGCATAACAGTAAGACTTTGAGAAAGGTCACAGACCTAGGTTGCATCATGTCATTTTGGTTCCCTGCCTTCTGAGAAAATGATTCGAAAGTTGAAGAGGCGAGAAGAGCTGATATATTTAGCAAAAGCAACCCATAGAGGAATGATAAGTCAAAAACCAGAAATTTTAGAAGTGACGATTAAAGGATTTAGGACATTTATCTTCACAAAGATTATTCACCAGTTAATACCGATAGTAACAAATACCAATAGTAACCATAAGTTTAGAGGACTAACATTGTAATGCTAATGTTTTATAAGGAGAAATTAGGTACTTAGGCAGGAACAAGTTTCACAGGTAGATGATTATAAGGTGAAACAAACAAGATGTATGTGAGTTATAAAAATGTTTTCGCAGTATAAAATGTGACCGTTCAACAATTCATAGGAACTTTGTCCTGCCCATCTTCTTTGTTGCAGAGAGAATAAATATTTTTAAAAGAAATGAGAGTTCTTTATGCATAGAATGTGGAATGACTTTTTAAAAAATTTCCCCTTCAGAACATGGCTTCAGTTTGATCAGGGTTTCTCAATCTTGGCGCTGTTAACATTGGGCCAGATAAGCCCTTGGCTGTCGGTGCATTGTAGGATGTTTAATAGCATCCCTGGCCTCTTGCCTCTAGGTAGATGCCAGCAGTACCCTGCCGCCACCCCACCCCTAGTTATGACTACCAAAAATGTCTCCAAGCATTGCCAGGTGTCTTGGGGAGCAAATTATCCCTGTTATTGTTGAGTTACATAAAATCCACTGGCATATGTGGATTCCTTAATGATATAGGTTTCCCTTTATATAATTTACATATAGCTGTTGAACACGATTTCCTTCTGCAGGTTTTCTGCACAAACTTGGACTGTGCTTAGCTTAGTGTATGTTGGAGAACCAAGGAATATGGTGACTTTTTTTTTTTTAGCTTTATTGAGAAGTTTATTGAAGGTAGAAATGAGCTCTTCATTTCTAAGTCAAGGTATAGGTCTTTTGCTTTATCTAATCCCCTTCCCACCTCCTAATTTGTTTGGAAAAGAACCTTATAAGCTATGTGTTATGGATAAAGTTTTTGTTAGGAATAGTTTAAAAATTTGTTTCAGACTTTTGAGGTGATTTGTATTTTGGCATTCAAGAAAAGATAGTCTTTAAAAAAATAGTTACTTGCTAAAGGGTTTGATTAAATGTTGCATCCTCTTTGTTAAAATTTGATTGTCCTTAAAATTTAACTATATGTAAATTCTGCCAGTGAGGAAGATGATGTAGGCATCTTGTTAGGGGGAGGGAAAGGGAATATATGCAATTGGGAAAAGAAGAAAGTAATGACAATTATTTAATAAATATAAGTTTAAAAGATTGAAACATCTCAATAATTTCAGGAGAAAGTAGAACTTTGTTTAGATTTCTAAGACAAATATTTGTAGATGTGAAGTTTTTCTGCCAAATGGCAAAGAAGCGAAATTGAAGATAACTATTAGTTAGGGGTTGATAAGGAGATAATTTTATATTTAAAGTGAGCAGAAAGGCTCCCTAGCATCCAGACTGTGATCTTGGAATACCATTCCATACCAAAAGGAATTAGTACTCCTTGGAGAAACGGCTGATTCTAGGTCTGGGGCAGGAAATGTATGAGATGAGCCTGAAACATTTTGTTTATCAGATAGCCAAGATTTTATCAAACACTACTAAGGGTGTGTCAGAAGGACTCAGAAGCCAGTTGAGAAGTTCCCACCTGCCCAAATAGGACACTTTGAGTGTCATTAAGGATAACTACAGTGACTCAAAACACATCAAATATGCTTAAGTCTGTGATGTGATGTAATGATAGTTTAAGAACAGGCTTGTTGGTCACTTGGGGGAAAAGCTAGTGAAACAAATCATTTTGATCAAGCAAGATGGGAAGAATCAAGACTTTCACTACATGAACTGCGCCAAATAGTAGGTATATTTTGTTTCAGTTGTTAAATGAAAAGGGAATGATAGATTTAGAATGACTAGATCCAGGCATTGAGCATATCTCCTGATGGAACAAAATCTTGCCCTTATGAGTAGTTTTGGGGGGGAAAATGTTAAACCTGTCTCTAAATCCAACTATCAATTTCAGGATATATAGAAGCCAGAGGCATATATTAAATGCCATGTGTATGTAATCAACGATATCCAGACTGTAGAAACTACACGAGGTGACCTGGTTCTTCAACAAATAAATTGCAAGGGGAAAAAAAAGATGGAGGAAGAACTGTAAGTTAAAAGAGACTTAAGAAACTTATCAAATAATCATAGTATGTGGACCTTATTTGAATTCTCAATCAACAAACTTTTAAATGTATGGTGTTTGAGAGAATTTGAAATTTGTAATATTGACTAGATAGTTAATATTAAAGAGACTATCAGTCTTACGCATGTTGATACTGTGGGGTTTTTTTAATGTATTTTTTCTTTTTTTTCCTCTTTTTAAGGCAGGGAGAGGTAATTAGGTTTACTTATTTATTTATTTTTAGAGGAGGTACTGGGGATTGAACCTAGGACCTTGTGCACAGGACTTCGTGCATGCTAAGCATGTGCTCTGCCACCTGAGCTATACCCTCCCCCTGATGGTACTTTTTTTTTTTTTTTTTGGGTATATGATCTTTTCAGTTCCTTCTCTTGTAGAGTTACATACCAAAGTATTTATGAATATAATATTAAGGATTCACTTCAAAATAATTCGAAGGAGAAGGCATAGGTGAAATAAGATTGGTGGATAACTTTTGAAGCTGGGTGATGGATGCATGTCTACTCATATATAATTGAAATTTATATTTCTTTAAAAACAGCGGAAAAGGAATCACTACAGTCTTGCTTCAGGGATTCGTGGTTGTAATACAATGGAAGTTTGCCCCTTGGTAGCAGTATGACTCTCAAATTTACTGCTTATCCAAGTTTTCTGCTTGTTGTAGCACTGTGCTCCCTGTGTGCCAGCCTTTCATTTCTGAAGTTCACATTTTTGCCTGGCACTTTTTCAGAAGAGGTGAAAACATCCCAAAATTGAGTAAGGATTGAAATTCAACATGAATTTGTTTGTTTTTTAGTGTGAAACATATTTCAAGCCTCTGAGTACATTTATCCCTTAAATAATAGGAAAGACAGGGGAAATTTCCAGGTTTTTTTTTTTTTTTTCCTTGTGAGAAATTGTTGAAGGTTAGGTGTGGAAAGAAGTTAAACATGAGTAGAATGATAGTTTGGGAAGATACGTACATTTTACTACTGCATATTTAGTAGTTACTGTCTTATTTGATCAAAAGTAGTTGAAAGGTAAACTATATGCCATGAATTACTTGAAAGATCACAAAGAATGATGGTATTTCTTTCTTGAGCATCTTGGTAGAGATATTAAATACAGCAGTTCATCATATTATTAAAGATTCCTTTTTGATAACTGGAAAACTACAGAAAGGTGCTAAATTTGCATTTTTCAGTTTTAAAGTTTGCAAGGTACTTAATTTAGATTGATATCTCTGTTGTGGCATTTCCCATCTTTTCAGTAGTTAATTTTTTGACCCTGAGCTATAGATGCTGATGTGAAAGGAATGATCACATTCTGAGATAGCAGAGTCTAGATCAGAATTAAGGACTAATTGTTTGAAAAACTTGGTTTCAGTGTCTTTCAGAGATGTTTTGGGTGTAAGTCTATATAATATGCTCAGGCAGCAGATTTATTATTTTCTGGATTGACAAGCCTAGTTGGTTAACTTCGTCTTCTGCATTGTAAAAACCTTGAAAAATATTTTCTAAGTTGAATTTTCTTTCCATTTTTTGATTTACATTGGTTGTTTTGGCAGAGCATATACCCAAGGAGTTATTTTTCTTTCTCACTTGACAAAAGTATAGTTAGGATACAAACATCCTTCTTTGCCATCTTTTCAGATCTGCCCTTTCCACTCTTTGTTTCTTAGAATACCTTGTTCATGGGAGGACCAGCATAATTTCACTCTTGTCAGATAGAAGAAACTTTAGTTGTTTGTATTAAAGATCATTGTTTGACAAAATAAAATATGAACTCAGTCTCTTAAGATACTATGAACAGTTGAGGTAAAAAAGAGCAGCCTTTGGGTGTGCTATTAAAATATCCACAGGCATGACATTGAAAACCACAATATGCATTCAGATAGCTCTGTTTATTCCTAAGGAAAGTTTTCTACAGATCACTCAGCATATGTATGGAGAGTTTGCTTGCAGCTGGTCACAGCTGAAAGTCCTTGAAAACCATCTGTAGTCCTTGTCATGCACAGTTTATATTCATTCTGCTGGGTGTTAGATATGTATATATTAATTACGTGTTGGCTATGAGCTCTGAGAGTTACACAGCAAAGAACAATGGTATAACATTAAGTAGTTAGAAAAATGTTATTTAAAATGTTACCTTTTTCAGTGGAACTAGACTGGAAATACAGAAATACGTTGTGTAGCCTTGGCTCAAAGAATGCCTGTGATATGGATTTGGCTTCTTTTTAATTCAATTTCTGGCTAGTATTGTCTTTTGTATATGTAAATTAAAATGAAACTAAGAAAATTAAAATTGATACTTGAGAGCTTTTTCTTTTCTTGCTCATATCTTCTCTCTGTAGTTTTGGTTTAGGAAGTCAGAAATAACTAAAATAGAATATTAGCGGCCACTTAGAGTCAAGTTAAGCACTTTACCCATTAAAACTATGGGTGCATGGCTGTGGCTCCTCACTACGGCACTGCTGGAGTAGTTTAAATTTTCAAGGGAACGTTGCCATCTATTGGGCATCTTAGAAGCTAATACTGTCAAATTGTATGGACCTGACTACTTAAACACAGTGGTTAGGTTGGTGGTTTTGTTCTGTTTTTGGCTTAAGGGTGTGGTGAAAAGAATACTAAGGGCAATGAGAGCCTTTGCATTAAAAGCTTTGTGTGAACCTTGACCGGTAGTGCTATTCCCATTCTAAGACAAAGAAGTTGACCTTTAGTCAGCCGACATTGGAGGGCAGCATAGCAGTAATAGCTCTTTGCATTGCAAAGGTGTAGGTTTTATCTTTAAAAGAAGAATGTAATGTAAGCAGTGTTTTCAGATTAAATGCTGACTCCCCAGATCACGGTGGAGTGTAGGTAGTAGTAGTAGGGCTGGAATTAGTGGGACAAGTGAGGGTCTCATCTTGGGTGCAGAAAAGCTCAGTAATCAAGATAAACAGTATTTTAATGTATCATTGTAAATAGCTCAATGTTAATAAAATTTCATAATGAGCAAAATATCCATTTTAAATAAAAATAGGAACTGAGTCTCCACTTGCATGATTCACCTCACCCTAATCTCAGCCTTGGGTATTATAATAGATTAAATTTTTATAATCCTAATTATTAAATAATCTGCTGTGGACTCTTCTACATTAAGAATTTTTTTAGGAATAAAAGTTATATTTTGGAACCTTGGAAATGGGGGAAGGTGAGGGGAAATGGTGGAGGGAGCACAAAGGGGAAGGGCGTGGGTTACCAACAGGTTCAGGAATCTGATTCCATATTTTGTATAAAGCTATTTCTCCCATTCTGAGGTCAGTAATCTTTTTTTTCTTGTAGCATGGCGGACACCGACCTGTTTATGGAATGTGAGGAGGAGGAGTTGGAGCCATGGCAGAAAATCAGTGATGTCATTGAGGATTCTGTAGTTGAGGATTATAATTCAGTGGATAAAACTACTCCAGGTAATAAAAACTTTCTGATCGTAGATCGTTGTTTAAACTGACTCAACTGAACGGCATTTTTGTTAAGAATGTGTGAGGTGGAGAAGGACTTTAAGAATCCAGGGTTGCCTCGTTGTGGCACTGGTGGTACCTTCCCCCCACCCCATGCTCTAGTCTGTAAGTGCTTTGGCTTCTTCATACATACAGCTAGAAACACTATGTTTAATTCATTTAAAACATTGAGAGTTGGATTAACCAATGTTTATCAAACGCATCAACAATCCTCTTATCAAATGATGTATGAATGAGAATGCAAAGTAGTGTGTGTCAGTGCTCATTTATATACCATGTCAAAAACAGGTTCCCATAGTCTTGGGATTTTTTGTTTTACTTGAACTTGGTTTCCTTTGTCAGCTGAGCAGAATTTGCTTTGTGTCTGCCTTCATGGACAGTTTACAAACTTATGCTCATTAGCTTCTCTTTCAAAAAGGTGATGTTGCAGGGCCAAATTCTAGATTGCCCTGAATTCAGAAAGTGGGTGGTAGTTCTTTTCCCTCCTAAATTGTGTCTGTTGCTCTTTATTTTTTTATCTTTCCTACCTTGAGACCTGAAGGTGGCATTGATTTGGGCTGAAACAGGACATAATTCAGGGTCTTAATGGACAGTTTACTATGCACGGTTATGAAGACCAGTAGTGGTGATAATAAGCCTTTGAATTCTAGAGGTTTGCTTGTGTTATATAAGCAAAACATTAAAATCCCGGTTTAGTGAGCTCGTAATCTAACTTAATTAACCAGGAAATGTGAGACAAAGAGGAAGGCATTGTGTCTAATTGGTGGTGTGAGGGACACATAGGACGAGAAATCAGGTGAACAGTTAGATTTACAAATTAAGCAAGAAACTTTTGGCTATAGAGACCCCAACAAGGTGAAAAGGGAAGATTAGAACAGTATCCTTTAGTGTCATCTGTCCCTGTCTCCAAGTGACTGTGCCTCCCCTTCCCCACAGTTTCTGTGAGCCAGCAGCCTGTCTCGGCTCCAGTGCCCGTCGCTGCTCATGCTTCTGTTGCTGGGCACCTCTCTACATCCACCACCGTTAGTAGCAGCGGGGCACAGAACAGCGACAGTACAAAGAAGACTCTTGTCACACTAATTGCCAACAACAATGGTAAGTGGGATTATTGGGAAATTCTTCCTGGGCTAGAGGGGTGAGAGAATAAAAAAGGTCTTAGGAACAGCTGTACCTGTTCAGTTTTAGGTACCTTGGTGGTTGTGCTGGTGCTGGAGTGAGTTTAGTACTGATTCTCTGATACGAAAAGTAGGTGATGCTCTTCCTGCTGCGTTAGTGCTGTGTCAGTTGATACTGGTCAGTCAGAGGGCAGCTGCTTCTTACTGCTGATAATATCTAGGACAGAAAATATAAACCCCAAATTCCTAACTGTTAAAGAGATCTGGGTTTTTGTTTGTTTTTTGTTTTTTGTTAGAAGAACCCCTCAAGTTTGGTAAGAATTCTCCCAGGGCAGTTTTGTACCGTATTTTCTTTGGCAGATTCATTTGGTTATTGGTTCCTGCCTATGGAAAATAGGATAGGGTTGTTGTCTACCTGAAGGAAATGGTGAAAGAGTAGTGTTTTTAGTGAGTTTATTGACTAGAGAAGTTATATAGTATTGGTTACTATTTCATTTTTGGTGACTTTCTACTTTCTGTAAATGAGTTATTGGCAAGTTATATCTCAAGAGTCATGTCTAGAATAAGCACCTTTGTAGAGTCATTGCCCTGCTGCAGAAGACTTTTATTTTATTTCATTTAAAAATTAAATAACTTTATTAATACAAGAGTAATGTGTATGCTATAGAAAAAGCAGACAGCTGAAAAAGGAAGAAAACAATTTTAATAGTAATCTCACTATTTGGAGATAACTATTTGTAACCTACTCTGTACTTAATATGTGCTTTTAAATATGTCTAGATGCTGTGTGTAGTGATTTACTTTTTATAAAAATGGATCCATACAGATTCTATATTACTCCTTGCCTGCTTTTTTTCCCCTTCATATGTAGTGAATATCTTCTCATTTTAATAAATCTTTAACATTTTTGATGATTGTTTCCTGTTGTTTGGTTGACTGTTATAAGCAATCAGTTGTAAAGGGGTGTATTGCTACTTTGAAGAGCTATTGTGAACATGTTTCTCTCTTTTCACGTTCTTAGTTTTGAGAATACATTTCTAAATGTCAAACTGTTGGGTCAAAGATTATCACAATTTTTAAGGATTTTGATCAGTATTTTTCCTGGGTTGGCCACCTAGAAATGTTGTATCCATTTATATTTCTATTAGAAGTGCATATGGTGTTCTTCTTTTTGGATATAATCATTTAGCTTCCTTACTGTTGAATGTTTATTACAATACCAGTTTTTTGTGATTCCAAACAGTTCTGTGGTGAACATTCTGAGGTATTACATCTGTGCTCGCTGTGTAAGCACATCTGTAGTATAAAGTAAGATTGCTGGGTCAAGTATTTAAAATTTGATAGACAGTGTCAAATTGCCCTAATAGATTGCTCTAAATAAGTGCTCACCAGTAGCTCTTTCCTCATATTAATGTCAACTTGAAGTATTATTAAACTTAAATCTTTATAATTTCCATCAGAATATTTTTAATCTTTGAATACTAAAAATATAATTTTTATCACATGGAGAATCCTTAGAATTTTTTAAACTTATAAATAGCCACCCTTTTATATATAAAGATGAGGAACCACTATCTACAGAATTCCCTCATTTTACAGATGTGGGAATGAAGGCCTGGAGAGTCTAAATAAAGTACTTAAGGTCGAATAGTAAGTGGCTACACTGGATTTTTGAGTTATTTAGACTTCAAAACTTTTGGGCTTCCTCCTGTATTACACTACCTTCCTATGTTTCTCTTAAAATAGTCTGTCAAAGTGCTATTAGCAACTAGTTTAGCTAAATTTTTCCTTGATCCCAGTGTTCCAAGGCCCATGATGAGAATCTCATGACACTGACATGACCTGTCATGACCTATTCTCCTTGAATGGGCCCTTGATTCCTGAACCTGCCTAGGGCCTGTGTATAAAAGTTTTTTGAAATATAAATATTTATTTTATTTCAGAAAGCTCTAGTATTCAAATTAAACTGTTAACCTGTGTTCTGGTAAAAAAAAAAAAAGGTATAGACTGATAACCACAGTTGCGTATGTCTTATGTGTTTTTCAAAAAGTTTTTCATGTGTAGATAAGCACATATTAATAAACCCAATCTGTCTAACTTCTTTAATTTAAATTTTATTTTAAGCATACAATTGTGTAACTTTTCTTTAATCAGATCCTCTTGGAATGCTAGCCTAAGAGTAGGAATGAGACTTCAGAACAGAGCAAATAAAAAATGTTCCCTCTTATAACAGAGTTTCCCTGTAAGCCTTCAGTTTAATTAAATAGTATATTGTCTACTTACTAGATTGATAACACAGCAAGGGAAAGTAACTTCTAAGCAATTCACCATTATTTCCCTTTTAGTGTACTAGGTTCTTTAGAAAGTTAAAAAGTTGTCTTTTTTCCCTACTCCCCACCCTCCTTTTTTAAACTAGTTTTAAAACAATCTGGCTCTTGGCCACCATTAGCTGCTACCTCCTCCAATAATTACATTTTATTTTTTAAAAATTTAAAAATTTTTATTACTTTTTTCCATTTTGAACATTTTTCAAACAATAATATTTTTAAAGTGTCCTTTTGGGGGCATTGATTGGCTTTTATAATTTAGTTGTTTCCGTTATTTTCCTTGCCCTCTACATAGAAAGCATTTCCTTGACTCTTGATTTTAAGGAACATTTTTGTGTATGAGAGAGGGAGGCTGGGTTTGGGAAGGAGTAGGAACACATTGATAATATTTATAATGGCGTAGTCCTGAGCTGAATAGTAGATTCAAGAGTATTTGTTTTATCATTAAATTTTGTAACATTATATGAATCAAATGTTAAAATATAATCAAGATTATTTTAAAATAATTAATGCAGCGAGGGTAGAGAGGATGGACACGATTTTGTCCTTTACTCCGAAATACCTGTCTTTTCATTCAGAGTGCTTAGTTGGTTAAAAAAAAAAAAAAAAGTAATCCTTTTCTATTCGATGGGGAAAGAATAGTTTTTTCAGCAAATAATATAGTAACAAGTGGGTACTTTTTCCATGTGGAAAAGAATGAAGTGCACCCATACCTTATGCCATTTGCAAACGTTAACCCTAACTGATCAGAAACCTATATGTAAGTACTAAAACTGTTAAGACTTTTAGAAGCAAACCATAGATGTAAATTTTATGACCTTGATTTAGGCAGTGGTTTCTTAGATAGGACACCAAAAGTGTAGGTAACCACAGAAAAAATAGATAATTGGACTTCATAAAAATTAAAACCTTTTATGCTTCAAAGGGAACAATCAAACAAAGTGAAAACAACTCACAGAATGGGAGAGGCATTTTGCAAATAACATACCTGAAAAGAGACATACCTTTAGAATATATAAAGAACTACTGCAGTGAAATAATAAAATGACAAATATACCTGTTTTTTAAATGGGCAAAAGATCTGAACAGACATTTCTCCAAAGAAGATATGTAAATGGCCAATAAGCACATGAAAAGATGCTCAACATCTTTAGTTATTAAGGAAATGCAAGTCAAAGCCACAATGAGGTACCACTTTATACTCACTTAGGATAGCTGTAATCAAAAAGATGAATAGTAACAGGTATAGGTGAGAATGTGGAGAAACTCAGACTTTCATGTATTGCTGGTGAGAATGTAAAATGGTGTGGCCACTTTAGAAAATAGTTTGGTAGTTTCTCAAAAAGTTAAACATAGTAGAGTTCATTATTACATGACCCGACAGATACTCTTAGCTATTTACCCAAGAGAATTGAAAACATGTTCATACAAAATCTTGTGTACAGATATTCATAGCAGCATTATTATAGCCTAGGATTGGAAATAACTTAAGATGCTGAAAGAATAAACAAAATGTGGTATATCTACACAGTTGAATATTATGAGACCATGAAAAGGAATGGAGTACTGATATATGCTACAACATGAATGAACCTTGGAAAATATGCTAAGTGAAAGAAGTCAGACACAAAAAGGCCACATACTGTATGACCCCCAATCATGTGCAATGCCCAGAATAGGCAAATCTATTACAGAGATAGAAAGCTAGATTAGTGGTTACCTGGGCTGGGGAAGGAAAATGGGGAGTAACTGCTAATGGGTACAAGGTTTCTTTTAGGGGTGATGAAAATGTTCTGGAATTAAATAGTGGTGATGATTGCACAAACCTTGTGAATATGCTAAAAACCTCTAAATTGTACACTTTGAGTGATATGTATCATATGTGAATTATATCGCAGTAAAGTTTTTTTTTTTAAAGAAAGTGTTGGCAATAAAATTTTAGAACATTTTTACTATTCTTTTTGCTGTTCTTCATAACCTGCCACTTAGCATTTAGAAATTATTTCTGTTTCTGACTGATCATATGTTTGCATCGGAAAGAAACATGAAGTGAACTAAATCACTGCTTAATTCTGAGCTGTGAATGATGTGAATACAATATTGTAAATTTTTTACTATAGTTAGGATTTTCAACTCCTATTTTGCCCATTTCAACTCCATGTAGTCGTCTTTTCTCTGGGTTTTAAGGCTGTGTAAGTAAACCTCAAAAGAATGAAGGAAAAAAAATCAGGACCTTCAGGTTTGTAAGACAAACAGAACATGTGAGAGAAGCTGCTGAACCTCCTTCTGTTATTTAATCACTTTATGGCTGGGTACCTAGTTTATTTGAGAGCACACTTAGAGACAGGGGATTCGTTGGATAATTCTTTTAAAGGCTTTTTTAAACCTCAGGATTCTGATTCCTCTTTCATCCTCTGGAAATAGAACTTTGGAAGACCTTTGGATTGTCAGAATTTCTTCTAGGGAAGACTTAATAAGAATGAAGAAATCATTAAAAACCGCTCATTTGTTAGAATTGGAATTATTAGAATGAGTTCATAGAATTCATTAAATAAGTATTTGCCCAGTGTGACTTTGCCATATGGTAACTTTTGCTTTCAGTTGAATTCTAAAGCTAATCTAGGCTTAGAAACCCACTTTTTTGTTCGCACTTTATTTTTAGAAAAGTCCTAACAACCCACCAAAATTCAAACATGACCCTGATGTCAGAGAATATTTGCAGCAAATGCTTGTGTTAACATTCTTTATAGTAGTAGAGTATGTGCAGGTTCCATGGGAACCAGGTCCTTCTTTTGAGACTTACTAATGCTGGTTGATTTTACATAAATGGAAAAAAAAATTCCATTCTTCCTGTCCTATATTTAATTAAGATGTTGGATTAGTGATTATCTTAAGAATTTTTAGGCTTAGATAAATAATAGATAATTTATTTTCTTTTACCCTAGCAATTAAAACAATGAATAGAAAACACCAGAAATTGACACATTGTAATTGACTGTACTTCAATAAAAAGAAAAGAAAATATGTGTTTTTGCTTAATCAATATTTTTCAACCATAAATTACAAGGGAGTAAAAACAGATGGATGGGGAACTTATAGAGTAAGAGACTTAAGAAATGTTCATCAGTTGTACTTTGTGAACTCTTTTGTAATCTGATTAAAATAAACTATTTAAAAGAATATAATTGTCAACTTGATCTAACTGGGTATTTGGTATTAAAGAATTATTGTATATATTTAACTTTATTGAGGTATAATTGATAAAACTATAGGATATTTAAAGTGTACATGGTGGTGATTTGATAAACGTATACATTGTAAAAAGAGTCCCACTATCTGATTAATTCACACATCCATCACCTCACATATTTATCCCTTTTTTAGGTTACTGAGAACATTTTAAGTTCTACTCTTTGAGCAAATTTCAATTATATCATACAAGATTGTGAACTATAGGCAGAATTATTATAATGCTTTTTAGGAATGATATTGGTGTTGATATTCCCTCTTTTAAGTTCCTGTCTTTTGGAGATACATACTGAAATATTTATAGATGAAATGATATGATCTGAAACTTGTTTCAAAATAATATGGGAGCTGGTAAGTGGGTGGGAGATATATAGATGAAACAAAATTGGCCTTAAGCTGGTAATTATTGAAGCTAGTACCTGGTGATTTATTATGGTGTTCTATTTTTATATATCTTTAACTTCTTCATAATAAAATATTTAAGTTAAAAATATACATGTATGTATATAGAGAGCGTCAATAAATTGCCAGTATAGTTAGCATAGCTAGAACTTGGGATTTTTTGTTTATCTGTCAACTTCTGTAATCAGTAGTCTGCTGGTCCTGTAACTGTGAGGGTCTAGTCCACTGACAGACTCAGTTTCTGGGGAGAACATGGGGCAAGCGACTGTTGGTTAATTGATAGCCTCTTGTTATACTCACTCTGATGGTCTCTTTGTTGCTAACTGTAGTGATAACATCTGTCAAGTGAAACAAAGTTTCAGAGGAGTCTGTCCCATTCTGGTTATTTGAGGTAAAAGGTTGAGACAGTATTTTGCTTGAATCTTTAATTTAGGTGTATTGACTCTGAAATTTTCTGTTTTGGAGTATTCTTTGTAAATAAGGAAATTCAGTCTTACTGATTTTTAGTCAAATTGAGCACTTAAAAACATTTACAAAATTACTTTTTTCTCACATGAAAAATAATTTAAAACATTTCAAAAATAATTAGCCAGTTTTTAATATTTATATTTGTTAATATTTATAAGTCATATCAGTTTTACCTGGTGTTGATGAATTTTAGCTAGGTCTTTTCTTTATCAGTTCTGATGTGAAGAAGGTAGCCTGTGAATCTCTGTGTTCCCATACCTGTAAAAGGCAGTGGTTATTTAGGGAATCTGTTGCGTTTTTGATATTTGAGTCACTAGGAAGAGATCCCATTCTTTAGATTCTGTGTACTTCTGAACTAATGTTTGTTGGTGAATATTCCTCTTTTTAAAAAGATTAAGGTGAATTAGCTAACAAATTATATTTCAATAAAATGGGCTTTAGCTAGTTAAAATATGGAGAAAGAACTATGTTACTTTGTTTTGCTAATTTGGTATGGAGAGATTGTGTGTGGTCACTTAAGCCATCAGAGTGAAAGTCATAGCCATGTAGAAGTCTTGCTGTGTAAAGGCATCCCTAGTTAAGGTATATGGGGGAGATTTTAGTGAGTTTCCCCTACCTGCATTTTTCTGTATTAGTTGTAGATTTGGGTGAAGCTTAAATTTTTGGTAAGTTTGAGGGCATTAAACCTGAGAGGTGAGTGACAGTCTTGGATATCTTGATATGTGGGGTGCCATTTCTTATCTAAGAGTATTGTGTTGCTTATAAATTGTGCGTTTGTCTTCTCTTACATTGGTTTTTTCCTTCTTCGTTTTATCCTTTAGCTGGCAATTCTTTGGTCCAACAAGGTGGACAGCCACTTATCCTAACCCAGAATCCAACCCCCGGTCTGGGTACAATGGTCACTCAACCAGTATTAAGGCCTGTCCAGGTCATGCAGAATGCCAATCATGTGACTAGTTCGCCTGTGGCCTCACAACCAATATTCATCACTACACAGGTAAGTAGGACTCTGAATTGTGGGACCTGGTAGAGAAGGACAGAAAGACTACATGAACCCTTGAAGGCTCTTACTTGAGTCTTTAGCATCATTAGAAGTGGTTCCAGTCCTGTCTTTTGGCCTGGCTTTCTTATTTGCTACTTTTTAATTTGATGCTGACTTTAGTAGAAGGCCCAGTATAGCGTATAGCTGGGTAATTTCTTCTTTATACCTCTGAAGGGCTATTAAGTAATTTGATTGAGGTCTGGACAGAAATGAGTGGGAAGCTTGAATTAGGAAGCCCTAACACTTGGCCCTCAAGGCTTCTTACCCTTTGCTTGGGCTGTTTTTATTAAAATGGGGGTGAATTAGCTGACTTTTGGAAATCTGTGTCTGAAATTGATGAATTGCAGGGAGATCTTTGGAAGAGAAGGAAGATGACTTGTTTGATATGTAATGTGAGTTGGGGCTGAAAGCCTAATGCTGAATGTGGAATGTAAAGGCAAATACTTTTGTCTGCCTTCTCTTACAAACTTCCCAGAGGTATTTGGCCTTTGAAGTGGACTTTGGAAACAATTTCTTAAAATTGTTTGTATGTTGAATCACTTCAGTGAATACTGTTATTGTCATTTTCCCCCTTCTATGCCTTTACCAATTTAGGGGCCAGTCCATGGATAAGTTTTGATGAGTTTTTTTAAGCTGAGGTTCTCTTAAGACAGGAAGTAGGTTTCATTTTTGTCCACATGTACCAAAGCTCATTCTCCAGTTTTAAAACTTGTCACTGAAAAGTTTGCTAAAATTCCAAAATTTCTCCATCTAAGTCATTTAAAACTCTAGTTCTAGAGAGAGAACCATTAGGTAAGAGTATGGACATTTTTTTGGATGGTAGGGCTTACCACAGTCTCTGCTAGTATTAGCTTATCTCCATGTTAAAGACCATTTTGCTTTTTAATGCAGGGATTTCCCGTAAGAAATGTCCGGCCTGTACAAAATGCAATGAATCAGGTTGGGATTGTGCTGAACGTACAGCAAGGCCAAACAGTTAGACCAATTACATTAGTCCCAGGTAAGGAAAAATGTCTATCCATTTGGAATAAACTGTCATCCAGAAGATTTGTTTTTGTTGTCTCAAAATAACTCAAGGTCATTTAAAAAATGTATTTAAGGAAAATCTAAAAATACAAAAATCATATTGATTTAAGCTCCAGTTTTTAAAAACTTTCTTTTTAAAAATATTATTTATTTTTGTGGGGAGGAAGCAATTAGGTTTGTTTGTTTACTATTTTTGATGGAGGTACTAGGTATTGAACCCAGGGTCTTGTGCATGCTAGGCATGCACTTTACCACTGCGCTATACCCTCCCCCAAAAACCTTTCTAGCTTTTGGCCGGGGTGGTGTTTTTATTTTTCTCTTTAACTTCTTATCACCCATCATGAGGTAATAAAATAGGGTTTATATAGTCAATTTTTCTGTTTCTGCTGTTTTTTTCAGCTGTATTAAGTTTGTTATCCTGAAAGAAATTATTAACGCAAACTCCAAATTCTCTGTTCCTTGTAAGTCTGCTCACTTACATGATGAGATTATGAAGTTTATTTTGCTTTAATTTTATAACATAGATTTTGGGTACAAATTTAAACAAATGACATACCCTTTGAGGATAAATATTCCAATGACTGGTTAGTATTTTTTTTCTTTGAGAAACTGATTTGAAAGATAATTTTTTAAAATCTTAAAAATTTTCCTCCAGTTCTTTATTTAGTGTCTGTAAGTTTACTAGAATTTAGGCCAAAAAAGAATTATCTTAATTTGGTTGCAGTAGGGGTATCTCTGTAGCTTATCTTCCTAAGTTTTGTTGTTATTCTCAGAGCTCACAGGCTTTTGGCCATGTACGCAAACCAGCTTCAGTAATTAGCAACTTAAGGCCAATCTTGTTTCATCTATACCTCCTACTCACTTACAGGGGAGTTGGGGGCAGTCTGATGAGTCTATCCCATCTAGTTGTGCTATTTCTTAAATATGTGTCAGTGGAATTGTCTATAGTTGAGCCAAGAGACTTTGGAACATTCTAGTAGAATGGCATAGTCTGTCTTCTATTTGAGTTTATATAAGAGAATGGAAGACTCCTTTAGTATTCTTAGAAAGAAAGATCGCTGTTTTCAGGACCAGCTCTGCCCTTTGGCCTACATATACCCACACTGCTTCTGACTCCATACCTGTCTATTCTCTTCTAGTACCAAGGTCAAACTGTCTCTGATTTTATTCTTGGAATAGAAAAGGCAGTGTGATAAGGTGTTTGGGGAGGATTTGATGGGAATCTTCTTTCAACGTAATGTTTTTTGGGCTGATTACTGAGGCTGATTTCTTTTATCAGGTTGGGTCACCTGTTGTCTTAGACATTGGAATCTCTGCTCCCCTTGGTAACCTGATGGTTGCCAATCAGTTTGGGGAAATAATCTTTTCCTATTTCCGTATTTTCAGTAAAGACAAGGGGAATGTATTATAGATCAGCTCACTGACCAAGATCTGGTACTTTTCTTTGTCTCTTTTTTGAAGCCCCAGGTACCCAGTTTGTTAAGCCGACAGTTGGAGTCCCACAAGTGTTCTCTCAGATGACCCCTGTGAGGCCAGGCTCCACCATGCCTGTGCGGCCCACCACCAACACCTTCACCACCGTCATCCCAGCAACTCTCACCATTCGAAGCACCGTCCCACAGTCCCAGTCTCAGCAGACCAAGTCCACTCCCAGCACTTCCACCACTCCCACTGCCACGCAGCCGACTTCCCTGGGGCAGCTTGCCGTTCAGTCTCCGGGCCAATCCAGCCAGACCCCGAATCCCAAGCTAGGTGAGGCTTGGGAAGAGGAGATGGCAGAGCTGGGTTGTGGTGACAGGCAAAGAACAGGTAATTATCACTTGGCCAACATAGCTCCTTCCTTCCCTTCTCCACCTGCAGTGAGCATTGCCAGCTTTGTCACCGTGAAGCGACCTGGGGTTACAGGTGAAAATAGCAATGAAGTGGCCAAACTGGTGAATACTCTCAACACCATCCCTTCCCTGGGCCAGAGCGCAGGGCCACTGGTGGTATCCAACAACAGCTCTGCCCATGGCTCTCAAAGAACCAGCGGACCTGAGGCTTCAATGAAAGGTACCATAACCCAAAAGACTGAGCAGCCAGTCATTTCAAAAAAATGAAATGTTTGTTGTATCAGAACTCTATACTATGAAATAGAGATAAGATAGGATGTAGTTGCTGCAGTCTGTTGTCACAGAAAGTTTAGTGTAGTAAAGGGGATTGCCACTTGTGAAAGGTATAACTGAATCAGCCAGAAGGAGTTCTGTGTTAATTGTGCTTTGGAGGTTAGTGAAATGGATCGATTGATCAGCGATGGGCGGGATAATCAAAAAATATTCATGGGGGAGGTGGATTTCTGAGCAATACTTTAAAGCACATGCCCTGTCGGGATTTGGTAAAGAGGTTTTCAGGTGTAGGAGGATATGTGCATAAGGGTCTTCAACGGTCTAGAGCAGGGGTTGGCAAGCTTTTCAGGTAAAGGACCAGATAGTAAATACCTGAGGCTTTATGTGCAGTATGGTCTCTGCTGCAGCTGCCCCGCCATTGTGAATGCACGCAGCCACAGGCGGTGTGTGAATAAATGTGACCATTCTCCACCGCAACTATTAACGGACTCGGGATTTTGAATTTCATATAATTTTCGTGTGTCAGAAAATACTACTCTTTTGCTTTTGTTTCAACCCTTTAAAAATGAAAACCTTAAACAATTTTGGGAAAACTGGATATCTACATGCAAAAAAATGAAGTTGGGCCCTTACCATACAGTGTATACAGAAACTAATTCAATGAGTTAGAGACCTAAACAAAAGGACTAAAAGCCATAAAACTCTTAGAAGAAAACACAGGGGAAAACCTTTATGACATTGGATTTGGCAGTGATTTCTTGCATATGACACCAAAAGCATGAGCGACAAAAGAAGAAGTAGATAAATGGGACTACATCAAAATTTGAAGCTTTAGGACATCAAAGGACACTTATCAAGTGAGTGAAAAGACGACCCACTAAATGAGAGGAAATATTTGTAAGGCATATATCTGATAAGGGCTTAATATCCAGAATATATAAAGAACTTCTGTAACTCAACAACAAAGAACAAAAACCCAATTTAAAAATGGGCAAAGGCGTTGAATAGAGATTTCTCAAAAAAAGATATACAGATGGCCATTAAACATCCAAAAAGATGCTAAACATCACTAATCGTTAGGGAAATGCAAATCAAAACTACAGTGAGATATCTCTTCACACTCATTAGGGTGGCTCTTACCCCAAAAAACAGGAAATAACATGTTGATGAGGATGTAGAGAAATTGGAACCTTTGTGCATTGCTAGTAAGAATGTAAAATGGTGTGATGGTCCCTCAAAAGATGAAATATGAAATTACCATCTGTTCTAGCAATTCCACTTCAGGGTATATATCCAGAAGAATTGAAAGCAGGGACCCAAACGGGTATTTATACCCCCATGTTCACAGCAGCATTATTCACAATAGTCAAAAGGTAGAAGCATCGTAGATGTCTATCAGCTGATGAATGGATAAATGAAATATGGTGTATACATACAGTAGCATATTATTTAGTCTTTAAAAGGAAATTCTGATACATGCTACAGCATTGATGAACCTTGAGGACACTATGCTGAGTGAAATAAGCCAATCACAAGAGGACAATTGTACAATTCCACTTTCATGAGGTACCTAGAGTAGTCAGTCTCAGAGACAAAGTAGAATGGTGACTGCTAGCGTCTAGGAGGAGGGGGTAATGGGGAATTGTTGCTCAGTAGGTATAGAGTTTTAGTTTTGCCAGAGGAAGAGGGTTCTGGAGTGCTTGTACAAAACTGCATGTGCTTAACGGCTGAACTGAACATCTGAAAATGGTTAAGGGTAATTTTTTTTGTTACATATTTATTACCACAATTAAAGAAGAAATTGTAAAAGCCATTCTTAATTCATGAGCCAGACAGAAACTGGCAGCTGGGTGGATTTGGTCTATGAGCTATAACTTGCTGGCTCCTGCCTAGAGTTCAAAGAATAATAAAAGGAACTTGCCTCATAGTGATTTCTCATGCTTGCTTATCAACCTGAATATGCCCCTTTGGGAGTGTTTAACCTTTTTCCAAAAGGCCAGTCATCTTTTCCCAGTATCATCCTAACTAATTTTATCGATGTTCTCACTTCTTCTAGTGACCTCTTCCATCCCAGTGTTTGACCTCCAGGATGGTGGACGGAAGATATGTCCACGGTGTAATGCTCAATTCCGTGTTACTGAAGCTTTGAGAGGTCACATGTGTGTAAGTGATACTGCCTGTGATGGGATGCAGCTTAAATGGCCCTGTAGTTTTGGGAGCTTGTGAAGCAAGAGCTCTGAAATGACTTGTAAGCTTTTCAAAGGGTTACTTCTTCTTTGGCCTGTTTTAGAATGTACTCTGGAATGTGATAGGTTACATTTAAAGACCCTCAAATAGATAACATATGTGACCTTGATTTCTTAGTTGTAAGTAGGTTTTAAAATTGCACAGGAGGACAGTTTTGTTGGCTAATCAAAACTCAAACCAGGTTGGCCTCATTTCGCTTTCTGTTTCTTGTGTCGTTGGCTGAATCGGGAGCTGTTAACCGGTTTCCAGTTCTAGCCTTTTGGGTTTTTGGTTTTAGTCCAGATGTAAAGGCTGGGGCTTCTTCCTGCCAGGGAGCTCAGAGCCAGATTATTCTAGCAAGTGGTTAAAGGGTCTAAGACAGGGAGAACTCTACAAAGTGTGGTGTTGGAGTGGCGTATGGTTATAAACACACATACACACACACAGGAGAAAAGAGTAAAACCTGGAAGCATTATAGAAAACCGCAGGGTGAAAGCTGGCTGAGAATACTTAGAACCAGACTGTTACCCAGGAATGTTAGTGAAGTTGGGGAGTTAGCACATCCCAACCCTCAGGAGAACCAGGACGATCAGATGTCTTCTCTCTTTATAGTACTGTTGCCCAGAAATGGTTGAATACCAGAAGAAAGGAAAGTCTCTGGATTCAGAACCCAGTGTCCCATCGGCAGCAAAGCCCCCATCCCCTGAGAAAACAGCTCCTGTTGCTTCCACACCCTCTTCTACACCTATTCCTGCTCTGTCACCACCTACCAAAGTACCAGAGCCAAATGAGAATGTGGGTGATGCCGTCCAGACCAAACTTATTATGCTAGTGGATGACTTCTACTATGGAAGGGATGGTGGCAAAGTAGCCCAGCTCACAAACTTCCCTAAGGTCGCCACATCTTTCCGATGCCCGCATTGTACCAAAAGGCTAAAAAACAACATTCGGTAAGTGTTGAAGATCCTTGGAGGTTACCTTGGACATTGAAGGCTGAAAGGGTCTTACGTGTTTTAAATTTTTCAGTTTGAAGAATAGTCCTAACTGTTACCCTGTCTGGCTAAGGAGTATCATTATTAAATCAATAACTAGTACTGTGGAAGGAGATTGTGTTAATAAATAAAAGACAACTTTGGGTAGAGTGAGACCAGTGCGTCTCCTTCCCCAGAAAAGTTTCAAGAACTCTCAGTTTGGGACTCAGAAAAGGGCTGCCCCAAACAGAGGAAGTTGGGCAGGAGGTGGGTAGTAACACAATGTCTTGTTCTGTGATTCCTCTGTTACATTACTCCAAGACTTCTGATTTTTTATGCTTTCTGTACTTTTCTGTGCTACAGATTTATGAACCATATGAAACACCACGTAGAACTTGATCAGCAGAATGGTGAGGTGGATGGTCATACTATCTGCCAGCACTGTTATCGTCAGTTTTCCACTCCCTTCCAGCTCCAGTGCCACTTGGAAAATGTTCACAGTCCCTACGAATCGACTAGTAAGTTTGAAAGTTCTTAAACTCTAGGGTTGTACTTAGACTTTGCTCTTCATTCAGTGAAGCATTGGGGGTGGCACGTTATGTTTGTTTATATTTGAGTAACAGTGTCAAGAAAGTTCTTGGCATATTCATAGTCAGTTCCTTACTTCATTTACTCTATTTTCTTAAAAGCCTGACTTCTATTAAGTCATTTGCTTAAGAGCATACATCTCTAATAAGGTGATTTTATGAGGATTTGAGTCCAAATATTTCCTGTGTCCTTTAAGGGATTTCTAGTTTTGTTGAAGAGACAGAAATTGTGTAACTATAGGAAAATGTGAGAATAAGACAATATATTTATTATAAACATATGTATTTTATGCTGTCAGAGAAGGAGAAGATCTTTGTGGCCAGATTTCACAGAATTAATGCATAAACTTTTAGGGTCTTTAAATACAAGAAGGATTTTAGATGGAAAGTAGTAAGAAAAGTTTTTAGGTGATGGGAAACAGCATGAGCAAACACATAAAGACAGAAATATGCACATTGATGCTTTTGCTGCAAATTAAAAATCTGGACTAAAAATGGAAAGGTTAAGGACATGTACTAATGCAACATTTAACTGAGAGGACCCAAGGTGGAGCAGGCTTCAAGCCCAGGATTTGAGTCTTCTACTTCTCAGCAGTTCTCTTGTCTCTGGCTCATAGCAGGATGGCTGTGTTAGTCTCAGGCATTACATTCAGACATAAAATTTTGCAGACTAAGAAGGGACCATATCTTCCTGTGTCTTCTCCCGAATCTGTTTCTTATAAGGCAGAATTGTTTTCCCTTTATATCTCCTCGGCTTTGGTCATACTGGCAATGGAAATGGGATTGCCATGAGTGGCTCAGACTACTGCTGATCGGAAATACAGTGAACTACATATGTAACTTTAATTTTTTTTAGTAGCCATTTGAAATAAAATTTTTTTAAGGTGGAATTAATTTTGTAGTGTATTTTATTTAACTCATAGAGCCAAAATCATCTCAGCATAAAATCGAATTTTTAAAATTAATGAGATATTTAACATTACTTTTGTTTTTCTCCATTTAAAAAAAACAGATTTTAAAAAATCTGGTGTGTATATTACACCACAGCAAATCTCAGTTTGGGCTCACCACATTTCATGTGTTCACTAACCGTCGGTGATTACCGTATTAGACAGCGGAACTCTAGATTTTAATTATTTGCTTGTGAGTGGAGTAGGTATTGGAAGCAACCGCATAATACTACAGTGCAGTGGCAGAACAACCAAAAAGTTCCTTGCTGTCAGTGATGGGAAGCCCAAATTCTCATCTGCAGCTCCCAGTGAAAAACTTTTTTTTTTTTTTAAAGAATCTGGTGGGGTGTTTTTGTTACTCTGCTTATATATGTACTGTACATAAGAAAGAATTTTCCTAACTGGAGGGAAAAAACAGTGCAGAACCTCATGAATCTTTTTCTCTCGGCTTAACCACTGTTTTATCCCTGACAATTTTTGAGTGTCTTATGACTTAAAATTTACATTGATGAGAAACCTGAGAAATTGTTGACTCAAACAGGTAAATATCTCGTCTATACCTCAGTATATATCAGTTTTATTCTTGGGTTCTTTTTATAACTCCCTTTTTTGACAGATCCTGCATGAGAAGTAGACTATTTTTAATGTTAATATTTTGGGGTCCTTTTTTTTTTAGTTTTGGAAATTTTTTTCCTCTTATTTTCTCAAAACTAAAAAGGATTATAGACATAATGACTTCCACCCCTAAATACTTCAGTATGTGTTGCTGACAAATAAGGACTTTTTTTTGATACATAGCCAAAATATCTTTCTCAAAACCTAACAGTTAACCATAAATCCATAATGTCATCTAATACCTCGTTCATTTTCAAGTTTCCTGAATTGTATCCAAAGCATCAATGTATCATCATATTTAATTATGGTAACAGTGTAATTTTAATAGCGTTGTGTTTTTCTTCAGACTTGTTTAAGGGCAATAGACCAAGGAAGAGGTAGGCTTGACGAAGTGATGCTTCAGGGTGCTTAATCGTGTTCAAATGTTGGGAGGATCCTGTGTGGAAAAAGACTCAAGAAAGGGAGAACTAATTGCTTGATAAAAGTCTTGGAATACATGAATGATGAGGTTGGGTGAGCCTTAGAAGGCATAGGGAATCTATCCTTCCAGACTTGGAGAACAGGAAGCAGAAACGATAGCAGTTCCTGCCTGTTCTCTCAAAGCAAGAGACCGTGGTGGCAGACATAGAAAACAGACTTATTAGGGGGGAAAAAAAAACAGCTTTATGGTTACTCGGGGAAAGGGGGTGGGAAGGGATAAATTGGGAGTTCGAGACTTACAGGTACTAACTACTAAATATAAAATAGATAAACAACATGTTTATACTGTATAGCACAGGGAACTATATTCAGTATCTTTTAGTAATCTATAATGAAAAAATATGAAAATGAATATATGTATGATTGAAATAGTACACCAGGAATTGACACAACATTGTAAATTGACTATACTTCAGTTAAAAAAAATGCAATCACTTCAAAAAAAAAAACAGACTGTGGTAGGAGCTAAGGAGGTGCATGACAGTGCTGGTAGGGACTGTGTTAGGACAGCCACTTTGGAAAATCAGCTAATTCTCCATCTTGAGTCTTTTTCCACACAAGCTCCTTACCCTGTAGAACAGGTATGAGAGGTTACTAGAGATCTCTTAAATCCACTGATGTCTAAGGTTCCTTTCTCAACTGACTTTTTTGATATGAGATAATAAATCTTAGCATGGCTTATATGCATTTAAAATTGCTTAATAAATGTTATAATTGACGTTATGTGGCAGCTATAACAGTAGAATTGATGCAGGTTGTAGGAAAGCCTTTGCGGCTAAATAGGATTGCCCAGGGAAAACAGAGAATAAGAAAAGGCTTGGCCAGAAGGTTAAGAAACACCAATGCTTAAAAATGTTCTAGAAAAGAAAAAATTAAAGAAGATGAGCAAATTAAATTGAGAGGTAAGGGGGGAGAAACTGGAGAACATACTGTTACACCACTAGTTACTGTTTTCCAAACATGTTACACACTCCCATACTCCCACATCTTTGCTCATGTTCTTCGCTTGGCTCCTCTGTCTGGCAAACCACTGTTCTTTCAAGGTTCAGCTTATGTATCAGCTTTTCCTCATTCTAAGCAGAATTGTTTGTTTCTTCACTTTGTCCCGCTAGCACCTAATGTACCTGTAGGCAGTGGTTCTAAATGGGTTGTAGACACCTTTGAGAAAAAACACAAAACTTCCCAGAAAGATACAGATTTTACTTTTTCAGGTAGTTTCAGGGGATACTTGGGTTCCTTAAGATCTCTTCCCTGGGTCCCAGATTCATTTCAACTTCACTCATCTTTTGGAGGGGCAGGGGTTGAACATTGTCCAATAAATAAATGCTTAGAGCTTCAAATTTACAATTTCCATATTTGTGAAATATCAGTTATAGTAAGAAAAATATAAATAATTATCTTTATTTTGCCTGTATAATTCAAAATATGTAGCAGTTAAAATTTTTGCCAAAAATTTAGAATTGTAGCCTTATAAAAGCTTGGTAAAATGGCTAATTTTAAAGTATAATTATCTCAGATTTGTTAATACTAAACACAATAATTTATAACAAAGCAAGAAGTTCTGTTCATGTTTGTAGTCTTTTGAGGACAAATCCTTATTTATACTCTAGTAAATGTTCAGTAAATGTTGAATTATTCATAGGAGATAACCATTGTCTATCCTTGAGCAGAGGAATGAAGTAATGTAGTATTTTTTTAAAATTCATTTGGCAATGACATGTAAAGAACAGATACTGTATTTATTGGAGTCACAGGAGGTATTAGAAGCCAGCTGATGAGCAATAGGAAGTCATATGGGCTTCTGCCACGTTTTTGCCTGTGAGAATGGAGAAGTGACAGTTCCTGGATGCATTTTGAAATGATGATGACAGGATCCAGGGGTTTGGAGTCAGGTAACGCCTGACTTTTGAGCTCCCGGGGAGGTAGGGATTTAAGAAGGGAAGCAGTGGGAAACAGAAGGGTACTGAATTAAGTTACAGTTGATGGTAGAATATTCAGTTTAAAAAGTCTTGTAGAGGGGTCAAAATCTAGAATGGAGTTTTGGTAAAGAAGTCTGAGCTAGAGACAAAAGGATAGTTGTTACCTGCAACCCAGAGGTTAAGATGGAACCGTTTTAAAGAAAGAATAGAAGAGACTTAATGATTTACTGACTATTTAAGACTGTGAGTCAGCAGGACTTTGGTCTTACTTTCAGGTGGATTTATTGATTATTTTTCTTCTTACAGCCAAGTGCAAGATCTGCGAGTGGGCGTTTGAGAGTGAGCCACTGTTTCTCCAGCATATGAAGGATACTCATAAGCCTGGAGAGATGCCTTATGTTTGCCAGGTATTGCCTTTTTCTCCAGGGAGCTTTAGCCATTTTGCTCTCAGGCTGAATACAAAGAATGAACACTGCCTAATTGCATATACTCAGTTGTAGGAACACTGAGGAGATACAGGAGAAATAGTAGACACAGGTTCTGTTTTCAGGATTTTCTGTGCAGGAAGAAAACATAAAGGAATATGTGCATGTACCCAGCCAAGGAACTCAGTCAGGGAGCATACACGTGTACTCAGGGAGTGTCTGTCTCCTGAACGTGCCCTTTGGAGATGGACAGGAACAAGTTTTACTCCTCTTGGTCTTAGAGTGCAGATTGTTCTCAGACTTCCCTGTCCTTCCCCAGCTTTATCTTAATTCACAGCTGAATTTATCACAGACATAGCCCTGCATTACAAAGTCAGAAAAATAATTTGATTTCTATACATTTAGGAAAATTTTTTTCATATTTTAACATTTTTGTTGCTACCTCTTTTTTAAGGCCTCAGTTGTTCACTTCACTCTTAGCTTACTTTCCCTCTTATGTGACTCAGGTGTGTCAATATCGCTCCTCACTCTACTCTGAGGTAGATGTCCATTTTCGGATGATCCATGAGGATACTCGGCACCTGCTCTGCCCTTATTGCCTGAAGGTCTTCAAAAATGGCAATGCATTCCAACAGCATTACATGAGGCACCAGGTACCAGGCACCAAGCAATTCCCATATTCTCAATTTTTAATTTATGGATGCTGGGGCCAGGGCTGAGCTAGGCAAATAATTTTGGTAGAGAAGATAATATACATATGTTTGAAAAAAAATTATTGAATTCCAATAATACGTGTCTGCCACTGGGCAAGATGCTACAGATTTAGTGGTAAATAAGACAATTAAACAATACAGTCAAGCAGGAAAAATACTGTATTAGGGGAAATACAGGATATAGAAAAGAATGTATGTATTCTAGGAGCCTAGTAAGAATTCTAGCGAAAAGGGTGTACAGACCTGAAGGGGAGAGGTAAAGATGTGCCGGGTGAAGTGGGTTAGAAGCACAGCATGCTCAGGCACAGGGGAGGGTCAGGGAGCTGAAGGAGGTGCAGTGTGGTTGGAGTATGGGTGCAGGGGGTGCCGCTGGGAGCTAGGGGACAGACCATGGAGAATCTTGAGGCATGAAGAGGAGTTTCAGCATTTAAGTTGTTAGGAAGCAATTAAAGAGATTTTTAAGTCCTGGAAGGATGTGTTCAAATTTGCTTTTAGTTACGATTATGCTGGCTGCATTCGGGAGAATGAATTGAAAGCGATTAAGACTAGAGTTAGGGAGACTAGACAAAGATTTTTTCAGTAGTTCCAGTGAAAAATGATAGTGGCTGTTGTCCTTCAAAGTGATAAAAAGAGGATAGAGTTGAGGGATACTGAGAAGACACATGATGTCTATGACTTGGAAATGGATTAGGTGAAGGTAGGAAGGGAGCCGTGAAAAATAGTGCCTACGATTCTGTCTTGGGTAGTTGGTGAATGGTGGGACTATTACCGAGATAGAAACGCTGGAGAAAGTAAATTTGAGGAGGAGGATTATAAGTCTGGATATTCTGAGTTAGAGTATCTGTGGACATCAAGTGTAGTTGTCCATTAAATAGGCAGTTGGGTATAAAGGTCTGAGGCCTGGGAGAAAAGCCTGGGTTGTGGAAGATGCTTAGGAATCATCATTAAATAAACGCAGTGGGTAGTAAACCTCTCAGTGTTGTGCTACACCCCAAACCCCCATCCCCAAAATTGGAAATGAGGTGACAGTTTAGGACTGTTGAAATCTCTATCCACAAAGCCAGGACCATAGTCCTAGAAGGAAAACCAGAAGAGTCTTGGTGTCGAGAAAGCTGAGGAGAGGAAAGTGTTTTGAAGATAAGAGTGTGGTCAAAATGTTACAGGAGGCTATCAGCAAGACAGAAACTTCAGAAGCCACCCTTCAACTTAGCCGTTTTGTTGGTTAGCAGGGTGGAAGTCAAATTTCAGCGGGACAAGTGAATGAGAGGTAAGGAAATGGAAACAACTTATTTAAAGAAGTTTGTTTTTGAAGGGGAGGACCAAGGGTGGTAGATCAGGAGACGAGATGGCAAGGGAGAATTTGTTGTTGCTTTTGCTGTGTTGTTTTGAAGATGGAACGGGTATGCCTTTGTTTTAAAATGCTACAGGAAAGGAGCCAGCAGAGGAGGAAGGGCGAAGTACATAGAGCACAAAAGAGAACAAAGATGGGTGCACCTGTGCCTCACGTCCACAAGTGTGTGCGCACATGCCCGCACTCCAACTTGTAAGCACCCTCTTAGGCTCACACACTCTTTTGCACATGGTGACTGCTGATAATCCACCACTAAGTGTATTTCCACATAGCAGCCTGGAAATGGTCACTTGCAGCTCAGCTTAGGTTATAGAGCCTTGCTGTCCTAGGGAAGAAAATCGTAGTCGTGAATCCTGTTTTTGAAGGACTTCGGTACTGGGCAGACTGAGTCCTCAAAATAGCCTCCCAGGGAGGCATACCTGTATGTATGTGTTAAAGGGGAAAAACAGCTCTGTGTAGAAACGTACTACTATTTGTGTTAAAAAAAAAAAAAAGAAGGGAAAACAGAGGTGGTGATTGGAAACATATGTGTTTGCTATATGGCTATGTGTGTAGACGGTCTACGAAAGAATGCTGAAGAAACTGGTAATACGTTGTTTCTGTGGAAGGGGACTGAGGGTTGAAGTTGAAGCATGCTGACCACATGAAGGAGGACAAATAAAAATATGATTTTCTTTTTTTATCATGTACATTTTATTGTGTTTTAGAAAAAGAAGAATATCCAGGTAGCACTGTGTGTCCGCACTGTGAAGATAAAGTAGTAGGGGCACGTAACGCTTAAGCCACTCATCCCCATTGTTAAAGCAAGTCAGGGGGAGATGATTTGAGGACCCTGGCCATCCTGGCTTTGGGTTCACCTTTCTCTGGGAGCATGGGAGGTGCTGATTCTCAATAATACATTTGGTGCTATGTTGTTTATTTCTTCTTTACTCTGTTAAATTATCAGCAGAAAAGTGGAAAGAATGATATGGTTGGCATTGATCTACGTTCTCAGAGAAGAAGATTCACTGGGAACCTTTAAGGGATTCTGTCTTTTTTTTTTTCCTTCAGAAGAGGAATGTTTATCACTGCAACAAATGCCGGCTACAGTTTCTCTTTGCCAAGGACAAAATTGAACACAAGCTTCAGCACCATAAAACCTTCCGCAAACCCAAGCAGCTGGAAGGTTTGAAACCAGGCACCAAGGTAGTTTGTCGACGTTTCCTTTATAGATCCAAGAGGGGAGGAATAGAGATATTTGCAGTATTCTGAGGTTTAACATGGGTAGTGTCTAATTGTTCTTTCCTTTGACTTGCAGGTGACAATCCGGGCTTCCCGAGGGCAGCCACGAACTGTTCCTGTATCCTCCAGCGATGCACCTCCCGGCACTCTACATGAGGCCGCGCCGCTCACCTCCTCAACAGACCCTCTGCCTGTCTTCCTTTATCCTCCTGTCCAGCGCAACATCCAGAAGAGATCTGTTAGGAAAATGTCAGTGCCTTCTTCTGGAGGCTGGGGGCCGGGTGGGCACCGCTATTCCTGATAGCCAGTGTAGTCTGGTAACCTTTTAAGCAGGATCTGTTGTGTATATCTCCTACAATTCCAGGACCCTGAAGCAGTAATGAGAATTTTCCTTGTTTGTTGACAGGAGTGTCATGGGCCGGCAGACGTGTTTGGAGTGCAGCTTTGAGATCCCAGATTTCCCTAATCACTTCCCTACTTACGTTCACTGCTCTCTGTGTCGCTATAGCACCTGCTGCTCTCGGGCTTATGCCAACCACATGATCAAGTAAGTTGTAATGAAATCAGTATTCCTGTCTGGGAATTCAGATTCTCCAGAACTCGTTTCATTCCCTCTCCTGCTTCTGGTGTTTCCTCCTTTAACTCCTAGAGCCGTTGGCCCACCTGTCCTAGCAGGTAGGAGGCCAGACCAGTCTTCATTTGGCTTGATGGGTGTGTGCTGGTTTTGTAGGACCTTGCCACTCCAAATGTGGTACAAGGACTAACAGTAGTAGATGGGAGCTTCTTAGAAGTGCAGCCTCTGGCCCCTACCACTCCCACCCCCAACCGGAATGTCCCTTTTAATAGATTCCCTCCCACCCCCGTGATTCATTTGCATATTAATGTGATAGGAAAACAGGCTTGAGTTGGGGTTACAGTGGACTGAAGAGGTGTTTCTCCTGTTGGGCACTGTCGGTAGCTGATGGTCTCGTTTAGCAAGCAGAACCCGAAACTCATACCTCTGCTTTATTTTTCTCAGCAATCATGTTCCGCGGAAGAGCCCCAAGTATTTGGCTTTGTTTAAAAATTCTGTGAGGTAAGGAAAAACTTACTGATGATCTCTTAATTTTTTCAAGTTTTTACATTAAATCCTTTTAATTATTTCGAGGGGTGGATATATGATTTAATTTGAGACAGAGAATAAAGAAGGGACATCCCCTTTTCTTTATTAAGCCTCAAAGCTTAACTCTCTCTAATGTCGCTGCTGTATTTGTGTTATGTTCTCTTGACTCTTAGTGGAACCAAGCTGGCCTGCACTTCGTGTACCTTTGTTACCTCTGTGGGAGATGCCATGGCTAAGCATTTGGTATTCAACCCCTCTCACAGATCCAGTAGCATCCTGCCACGAGGTGAGCAGGAGAAATGGGGCTTAGGGGGCAAAAATAGCTAAGGATACAGCTTCATACTGTGAGTCAGGAGCATCTCCCTGACCTGACCTGTTCACTGTTTAGATTCACCAAGTTGGAAGCATTCTAACCTGAAGTTTATATAAGACTGGGAAGATAGTAGGTTTGCTTTTTTTGGTTGAAATCCCAGGATTCTGTCTTTGGGGGGTTTGTTTCTTCACTGAGGTAACATTTTTTATTGTCTCATTTTCCGTAGGACTCACTTGGATATCTCACTCAAGGTAACAGAAACTCACTTCATCCTTTAATTTCTATTTTGTAGTATGTTTGGTCTTTATTACTACTACTGCTACCACTGCTACTACTATTATTTTGTATTCCTAGTTTAACTGAATTTTTTCTTTATCTCTTTGCTAACCCTTTTAGGCATGGCCAGACTCGTGACCGATTGCATGACCGGAACTTGAAGAATTTGTACCCTCCCCCTTCCTTCCCCTCTAATAAAGCTGCCACTGTGAAATCTGCGGGCACCACCCCATCTGAGCCTGAAGAGCTCCCAGCTCCTGTGGCCCAGACACTCCCATCACCAGCCTCAACTGCAACCCCGCCACCAACCCCGACCCGTCCCCAGCCTTTAGCCCTTCCACCAGTGGCTGCAGAGGGGGCTGAATGTCTGAATGTTGATGACCAGGATGAAGGGAGCCCAGTCACCCAGGAACCTGAGCCAGCCTCAGGGGGTGGTAGTAGCAGTGGGGTTGGCAAGAAGGAGCAGCTGTCGGTGAAGAAGCTTCGAGTGGTCCTGTTTGCTCTGTGCTGCAATACAGAACAGGCAGCTGAACACTTCCGAAACCCCCAGCGACGCATCCGGCGTTGGCTTCGGCGTTTCCAGGCCTCACAGGGGGAGAATCTGGAGGGCAAATATCTGAGCTTAGAGGCAGAAGAGAAACTGGCTGAGTGGGTGCTGACCCAGCGAGAGCAGCAGCTGCCTGTAAACGAGGAGACCTTGTTCCAGAAGGCCACCAAAATAGGACGTTCTTTGGAGGGGGGGTTTAAGATCTCTTATGAGTGGGCTGTGCGTTTCATGCTACGGCACCACCTGACTCCCCATGCTCGGCGAGCTGTGGCCCACACTCTTCCCAAGGATGTGGCAGAGAATGCAGGACTCTTCATTGAATTTGTGCAACGGCAGATCCACAACCAGGACTTACCGTTGTCTATGATTGTGGCTATTGATGAAATCTCCTTGTTCCTGGACACAGAGGTACTGAGCAGTGATGACCGAAAGGAGAATGCCCTGCAGACAGTGGGCACGGGGGAACCGTGGTGCGATGTGGTGCTGGCCATTCTGGCAGATGGCACTGTCCTCCCTACCCTGGTTTTCTACCGAGGACAAATGGATCAGCCGGCAAATGTGCCAGATTGTATATTGCTAGAGGCAAAGGAGAGCGGCTACAGTGACGATGAGATCATGGAGCTGTGGTCATCCCGAGTGTGGCAGAAGCACACAGCTTGCCAGCGTAGTAAAGGCATGCTTGTGATGGACTGTCACCGCACTCACTTGTCGGAAGAGGTGCTGGCCATGCTTAGTGCCTCTAGCACTTTGCCTGCCGTGGTCCCAGCAGGCTGTAGCTCCAAAATCCAGCCCTTAGACGTATGCATTAAACGGACTGTCAAGAACTTCCTGCACAAAAAGTGGAAGGAGCAGGCTCGGGAAATGGCAGATACTGCGTGTGATTCTGATGTCCTGCTTCAGCTGGTGCTGGTCTGGCTGGCTGAGGTGCTTGGTGTTATTGGGGACTGTCCAGAGCTAGTTCAGCGGTCCTTCCTTGTGGCTAGCGTTCTGCCTGGCCCTGATGGCAACATTAACTCACCTACAAGAAATGCTGACATGCAGGAGGAGCTAATTGCCTCCCTAGAGGAGCAGCTGAAGCTGAGTGGGGAACAATCTGAAGAGCCCTCAGCTTCCACTCCCCGACCCAGGTCATCTCCTGAAGAGACAGTTGAGCCTGAAAGCCTTCACCAGCTCTTTGAGGGCGAAAGTGAGACCGAGTCCTTCTATGGCTTTGAAGAAGCTGACCTAGATCTGATGGAGATTTGAGTGTTGGGGTCATGAAGGGGGGTGTGGAGTGGGGGTGGGAAGTCGTGAGGGAGGGTAGAGGGATTTAGGGAAAAGGGGGTATACCAGGTGAGATAATTGGCTTATATTTTTTAATTTTATGCCACCACTCCCCCCAACGTTGACTTATACTTCCCTGTGGATTTGTGGATTAGGAAAACCAATAGCGATCACGTCTGAGCCGATGAGCTGGCCCGTTGGTCATTCACTTCTGCTAAAAACAGGTTTTTGTGACTTTTTTTAAAATTTAAATCACTGTGTTTGGTATTTTTCTGACAAAATCAAGAAAAAGAAAAAAAAAATCCTTCGTGGGCGAATGTCAAATTTTTTGTTCCCCCTTTTACCTCAATTGTATCTTAGTACACCTGGATTTTTGTTTTGTTTGTTTTACTGTGTGGCCAGTGTCTCTGGGCATGATGCTCTCCAAACATTGTCAGTGTGAGAACATTTCTGCAGATGGGAAAGATAAAAATTGTAGCTCACAAACTGGTTTATTATATATATGGATAAAAAGGTTTTTTCATTGTGGTCTTAACACTTTTCTATAAAAATGAAAATGGAAAAAAATCCCACTGAACTCTCTTCCTTCTCCTTTCTTTCCTTCCCTCTCCAGAGATGTTGGTTTCTACAGCAACTCTAAGATATAAAATTGTGGCTTTAAAAATGCATGAAACCACCTTAATCATCCAGAATGATGACTAGATTTTTTTCCTCACCACCTTCCCTCCAACAAAAACACAACAAAACCAATATTCTTTGCACTTGTGATTCTTGACCCCTTTCCCCATTCTCACACCATCACTCTGGACAGAGGATCATACACGTGTCATAGCAAGCAAGAGGTACTGAGATGATCACACAGACCTAACGTTAGGGTGGAAGCCATTCCAAGTGGATGGGTCTTCATTCTCACAGGGGCAGCCCCTGCTCTGTTGAACTTCCTCCCGTTAAGTGGACAGCATACCTGTTCAAGAGGTCACTTGTCCTCCAGCCAGCAGCTAATTGTGCAAGAATTGTATTGAACTTTGAAAAGAGACCACTTGTTGAAATCCTGCTTACCCTGTGGCTGTCCTGTTTCTCTTACTGTCCAGAGGAGAATGTGAAGAAACAGATGGGGTGCGCACAAAGAAAAAGACACGAATCTTTATTTTTCACTGCCAGCTTCGAGAAGAAAGTTTTTCTACAGTTTGCATGAGGGAATTTTTTTTTAATTGTCTGTACTTATGGTTATAAACTGAAATGTACTGTAACATACAGAGAAAAAGAGCAAAAACCCAAGTCCACCTTTCCCACAGCGACACCATTCTTCTTTCCACTCTGAGACTTTCAGCAACATTTCCCTGAGCCAAGGAGGCAACCTGCACAGGCTTGTAAATGGTTCGTCTTTAAAATGTACATAAGTGGAGCATTTAATAAAATGAGGGGAAATGGATTTATAAACAATGTGGTTTTTTTCTAGGTGACCCTTTATGAATAGGCCTTCACACTGGGAAATGCTCAAGATGTGATGAGCCTCGTGATACAGGTGTGACGTTCATTACCACCTGTTTCCCCACCCATTTTTTGTTCTGTTTTGTTTAACTCCAAGCACACTATAATATAGTGAACTGGAGAGACCCCTCCCATCAGCAGCTCGGCCAGCTTTGTCAACCTGTGGCATCCGAAACCCGAACTGAGGGTTCACCTGGGCTTCTCTTCCCCAGCTTTTTGCCTGATGCCATTTTGACAGAATATGGACTTTCAAGTCAAAACTTTGCCTTTCAGACAGTTCAAGAACTATGGTCAACTCTATCTACATCTCTTTGGTAGTCTGCAGCAGCCCCAGCCTTAGCAGAGTGGGGTTCCTGCCCTCTGCACACTGTATGACTTTATTGATGGGTAATTTTTTTAAGACCATAATACCAACAGTGGGTCAGCCGGGTTTTGACCAGGAAGTTACCTTTGTGGATTCCGCCCGCATGGCTTAGTAGTAGAAGAAAGTTTTTTTGTTTTGTTTTGTTTTTTATAATTCAGTTTAATCAATAAACAAGTATTTATTGACTACTTCGTGTCGAGACTGAATGTGGGGAAGATTCAAATTGAGAGCTCATGGTTCTTTTGCTTAAATTTACTAGTTGTAATCGTAGATGACACAAATGGAGGGCTGTTCTGATTTCTCCCTCAGCTCTCAGCTCACTGAATTTCTCCACAGGCAAACAGTGGAGATACATGGGTTGGGTTCCACCACTACAATAAAGCAAATAGCGCAAGAAAAGTGAGTCACACAAATTTTTTGGTTTCCCAGTGCATATAAAAGTTACGTTTATACTTTAGTATATTAAGTGTGCGATAGCATTAGGTCTGAAAAATTTAAAAAATACTTTATTGCTAAAAAATGTTTACCATCACCTGAGACTTCAAGTTGTAATCTTTCTAAAGTAGTCATAACATCAGAGATCACCATAACAAAAATAATGAAAAACTTGAAATATTGCAAGAATTACCAAAATGAGACAGACACAAAGCAAATGTTACAGGAAAAATGGCACCAGTAAACTCAGTGCTGGGTTGCCACAAACCTTCAGTTTGTAAGATAAAACAAAAACACTGCAGTATCTGCAAAATATAAAAACAAGGTATGCCTGTAATAGTTTGAGGGTTTCCTGCCTACACTAGTTTCTTAAAAAGGTTTAAAAAGGGTATGTATCAGAATCACCCAGGGCGTTTTTTTAAACTTGAGTTTAACACCATCCCGAGGATGGAACTGGCTAATGACCCAAGAGGACTTGACTCATGGCTACACCTAGGACTTCTTAATGAACATAAAATACTTGTAAGAGGTATTAGTAGAATACAGTGCTAGAAATTTAGCACAAGATTTGGACAATAAACATTTAGGTTAAATGTCAAAATTACTTAGTCTTTCCTGTGAAGGGTGAAGAGGTTGGATGGGTGAGGGATTAAGGCTGTCAGTTCCAGCTTGGTAACCTTATACATAGCAACTCTACTAGATGTTACATTTCTTTGAAATGTTTTAACTAAAATCATATTTGCTGCCAATATTAACCAGAAAGTGTATTTTAGAATCTACTGCAAAGGTGAAAATACTGAAGAAAAATGTTAAATACAAAAGCTAATTAATGTTCTCACACAAAGATCAAGCCCAACTTCCATACAAAGCAGCCTTCAGGACGGACCCAAATGAAGATAGTAGTGGGTCTTCTGTACTGACAGAGCATTCTGTATACACTAAGAACCAAAGGGTTCTCTGCCCAGGGTGGGAAATGGCACATAGCAGTACTTAGCAGTTTTGCTCTTGGTGTGACCTAGGCAAACAACACAACCACTCAGCAAGCGTTTCAAAGGATTGATTTATTTTACAAAAGAATACCTCTGAACCAGCCAAGTTCAAAGTTAGAAGGGTACAACTTCAGTTCTGGATAATGCATCTGTATTTCATTCAAAACCACTAAAAAGAAAGAGAACATATTAAAATTGTGAAGCCACAGGGTGAGGAATCAATTCCTAAAAACAGCTCTATACTCAACCCAAACCTCGCCACCCAGAGAATTTTTTGGTTGAGACCTCCAGAAAAACCAAGCTTAGTGCAAGTAAAGGGTCTCCCAACTTTTCTACCAACTATTTTTTCTACTGTAATTTTAATTCCAATCACCTGATCATGTGGGCAATATCCCAGTTGGTCTCTGCAGACAGGGGTCCCTCTATTTCAACACCTTTTTCGGTTACAGTGGCGATTTGAAACTGAAAGAAAGCAGAGCTCTCAATGAAAATGCCAACCCTACATGAGAGAAGCCCTGGGGCCTGGTCAAAGGTCAAGTGGAGAATGAAAACAGGACACGCAGAAATGAGGCACTCTCTTCTTCAAAGCATAGGGACTCAAGGACTGCAAGTATCCAGAACCAGTCAGATCCCCATCACCTTTATTCACACTTCTGCTCACCCGGTTATAAGAACGGGCATCTCGATAGTACAGCACTCGCATGCAGCGTTCCACAAGGTCTCGGGCCTCAGTCTGGCTCAGCACTGGCTGCTTCTCCAAAACCTCTCGCAGCAGAGGCTAGGGAGATTAGGGGGAAAAATATGGAAGGTACCAGGCAATTTGTCACAAATCCACAATGTAAAAAGAATCATAAATGAGTGAAAAGGGGACATTCCACCTACTGCCTCACCAGAATGAACTCTGCTTACTTGTGCTAAAACCCAGTTGAAGGGAAAATTCTAGGGTGTCCTCTCTTTGCACATATACACTGACTCCTGGACCACAAAGAAAACCATCTGCCCAGCAGTAGGGATTCTAGCCTATTCCTCATGTCAGCATTTCAAGGGTAAAACAAGCAGACAACCACTAACCCCCACTGCCTTCTGTTGTCTCCCATTCCTCAGCCCTCAAATGACTACTTACCTGAGCCAAGTATGCACCATAACCAGTGGCCAGCGAAGGGGCTTCATAGGCTACACCAAGCATGTCCACGTAACCCAGGAAGCTAACAGGACACAATAAGTCAAAGAACTGATTTCATCTTAGGCTTCTGTACCTTAGCTGAAGGATGGGACCATGGGGTCTGAGTTACAAGTGGGATTCACTCAGGGGCAAGAGAGACACTACACAGGCACTAGAGGTTGGGTGGTCAAGGAAATAAGTTATTTGCATTCAAATCAACCTCTCTCCATCAGCATAGCCTCCGATGACCATGGTGTTCCACAGGGGGTTCATCTTGGAGCGGCGGCTGTACATGGCCCTGGTCAGCCATGAATGAATAGCTTTAGGGCTATAGCTGTGTCCATCTCCCAACAGCTCCTCATCAATCCTTAAAAAGAACTGGTTGTGAGAAAAGGGAGGGAAATGGAAGCCAGGATTTCCAACCACCTCCAAAAGACGTTACCATAATCTTCTCCATTTAAACCCACTTAAAGAAACTGTTTATTTGCAAACATTCTGACATCTTCCACCCCAACAAGTCTCCCTGTCCTCTGCTGCAGCCTCAAGTTCCTCCACCCTACAACTTCTTGAGGGGATGAAAAACCGTGGATTCCCCTCCCCACTTGGGAACTGCTTGTTCTCTAGATGACTTACACCATTTGGCCGAGAACTTGCTTCAAATATTGGAAATCAGCATAGTCTCCGGAAGCACCCAACATGGTGCTGTTGTTGACTCGCATAATACGAGAGATGTTGCGGAAACGAGCCAAGGAACCGTAAGAGCCCAGCATGTCTGCAGCAATCACAACTCCGCCCTCAAACTTTACGCCCAGGACCGAGGTCCCGGTCACCATGGGGTTCCTGGAGAGAGAGAGAGAGGTCTAGCGAGCGGCGGCGCAGGGGAAGAATCAGAGCCCACTTCCTGTGCTTCTGACTTTCCATGGCTCCTTTCATTCTCCGGGACCCTGCTCCCCGAACTCCCCAGCCGTTCGTGTGCGCCGGGGGCCCCACCTCGCCTTCCACGGCTCCCAGAACTGGCCGGCCGCACCAAGCCCCACGGTCCCTCCCCGCTGCGAGTCTAAGGCGCCGAGAGCTTACTGGGTGCGCGTAATCGGACCACCGTAGAGCGCGGAAGCCGGGTCCACAGAAGAACCGGGAGTGGGAGGAATGCGGTAAAACTGCCCGGGGACCGGACCCCCGGCCCACAGCCCGGACCGTGATTCCAAAAACGCTTCCATCTTAGTCACGGTAGCACAAGAAATGAAAGAGTTTGCGCCGACGGAAGCGGAAGTGATCCTTCAATGCCACGCCTTTCTTCTTCCTGCAAGCCGCTTCCGGCAGCCATGTTGTTAAGGTCAGGGCCGACGGTGGGTGGCGATCGAGATCCAGAGGTTTGGAATTGGCCGACGTCGCATCACATCGCGGTAGAGTCTGGACTGGAGCAATGTTCTAACGCAGAAATTCAAGGAACGGGAGTGTGGTGTGGGAGATGGGTGTGGGGGGGAAGGAGGGAGCACTTTAAGATGCTGACTCTGAGGGAGGAGGCAGAAATTCTCGTGTCCTTTTTGGATCCTTATCAAAAAGCTTCACACAAAACTAATAGTGAACCCAGGATCTCTTAAATCTCTATTTCTCAAAGCAGCCTCATATGGCATATTCGGCCCATTTTGTAGATAAGAAACGGAGACTTGTGTAGTGATTTACCCGATGACACCGCAAGTAATGGCAGATCTGATTCTTTGAGCTCAGGGGAAAAAAAAAGGAATCATACAATTGTGCATACTCCAGGGTGTATATTTCGGGTGGATCATTCTTTAAGACCTTCGCCAAATCTCTGAAAGGTTCCTCATTGTCAAATGCTCTTGTCTACCTCTTAAGCTGCAGAAAAATGGTTGACTATGAGAGTGTAAGTAAATTCCAGGGGTTCCCTTCTCAGTGTGGTTCTGTAGCAGGGGCTGGAAGCAGTGTCTAGAATCAAACAGATGAACCTAAAACCACTACTTTGCCACTCCACCCTATAAAACTAGATTTAAATTTTTTTACTCACCAGGAAACTGAATCAGTTTTGTCTTTTAAATTCCCTGAGTTAATTTGAACCAAAGCAATGCATGAAATTTTAAGTTAATTGAAATAAAATATTTCAGGTCATGAAACCCTAGAAAGAGAACGGTTAAGATCTTGTATTAGAGGCACCCGAGTGAGACTCTTTGTATCACCTTTTTGTCTTGAAAACTAAGTAGTCAACTTTTTTCTTCTAATTGATAGCCACCTCCTCCCAAACCCCACGTTCCAAGTGACTCTTGGGCCACCAAGAGACTCACTTGGACAAATAGCAGGTGTCAGTTGTGATGACAGAGGGCTTACTGGGATTCCTCCAAAGCCGCTAGAATATCTCACTCTTCATAGCTACCAGAGTTCTCATCATATGAACTTTAAAGCAACTAGCCATCAATTAACTGGCTGTATCCTTGTTTAGAAGTGGGCCTGAGGTGGCTTGCTGGCTTTTGGTCTCACACTTTTTTAGGTCCTTAGGTTAAGGCTCTGGTAGGGCCAGTACCAGTTCCAGAGATCAGGCAGGAGGTCAAATTCCATAAGGTCTAGAAGAAGAAAAGTGAGAGGATCT